GAAGTGCGCTCGTTTCTAATTGTTCCTGGCCCCCTAGTGGCCGGGAAGAGGTAGAACAATGGGAAATGAAAGGATCTTTGCCCCCCCGAAGAATTCAAAGAACTGTCGAAGAGTTCGAAATGAGACAACCTCTACCCTCTCACGAGAACCGAATCTGCTGATCCGTACCCACGCCCTCGCGGTCTGGGCTCCCGCACGGGCGAAGGGTCCGCGGATGCGCGGTCGGGCGGGTGCGCTCCGCGCGGGGCCTCCACGGAAGGACCACCCCGCATCCACGGGGTCGCGGCCGAGGGGCCCGGCCCTGGAGGGATTCGGACTCCCCCACCCCGCACGCCTCGCCTTGACGTCGCTCGCTCCTCATCGCTGGCGCACCCCGTCCGGACCACGTGGGCACAACCACCACTGCGCCATCTAAGGCCATCGTGCTACGCTGAGCAACGCAGAATGAGGAGAGACAACGATTCTCTGTAAAAGGCGAGCCTCGGCCACGAATAGGTTCCGCGATCCAGATCAAAGGAACGGCCCGAGAACGAGTGAGCCCGAGACACTCGGTATTTCAACGTCTTGACTGTACCGACGATGTGACAATATTTCTCTTTCCACCTCCTCCTCCTCCTCCTGCTCCTCCTTCTCCTCCTCCTCCTCCTCCTGCTCCTCCTCCTTGCGCTGAGCGGACTCCGCCAACTAAGCTTGTAGCGTTCCTTACTTCTGCTGCTGCTCCTCCTCCTCCTTCTTCTCCTGCTTGTCCTCCTCTTTCTTCTCCTGCTTGTCCTCCTCCTGCTCCTCCTGCTCCTCCTGCTCCTCCTCCCCCCTGAAGTGCCGTGGAGATCGAGGCGGCGGCGGCGACGGGGCGTCTGCCGGCCGTCCTGGTCGCGAAAGCGTTCGCCATGGGCGGCTGCGAGTAGTCGTTCGCCGGCTGCGCCATGCTGTTGTGCCTCCCGACCAGAGCACGATAAAGATCGAGGAAGAGGAGCAGGAGGAGGAGGAGGAGGAGTAGGAGAAAAAGGAGGAGAAGGAGGAGGAGGAGGGAGAGGAGGAGGAGGATCGAGTGGAAGACGGAAGGAGGAGCATCGAGAAGGATTATCGGGGAACAGACCTCGGTCCGACAACATCATCGTCCCAACCCCGCCCGTGTCGAGGCCTCCCGGGAAGGGCTGGTGTGCCTCCTGGACGGAACATATTTTCCATAAAGCATGGCCCCAACCACGTGTTGTCACGTCTCAGCCGACACAGAGAAAGGACTCGCACTGCCACTACAAGTGGCACACTGCTCCCCCACAGCGTGAAGCAAGCCTAATGCCGTTGGTTGCCTCACGGAGAGTGTCGTCAAGATTTCGTGAAACAGGAGGGAGAAGCAAAGCGGAGGAGGGAGAAGCAGGTTATGTCATATTCGGGGGCCATTCCTGTCCCATCGCGTCGCTGTCCGTGTCAAATTCGCTCCTATATCCGAGCGTACCTTCCTCACGGGTCACTGCGAGCCCAGAGAGGCCCTTGCGGCCTGGACAAGGCCCCTTTGGAATTCGAGCGGGCTGCAAACACACACACACACACACACACACACACACACACACACACACACACACACACACACACACGCGCGCGCGCGCGCACACGCAAGCGCGATTAGCCCCCTGTGGGGCGCGATCCGCACGAGGGGTGTGCCGATCTCGGCGCGGGCCTGCATTGGGCTGCTCCCACTTGGACCGTAACTTAGGCGGTCGACATTTGATCCAGCCCCCTGCTCAAGCCCAGGCACCCACGAGGAGCCAGAGCGGGGATATGGCTAAAAGTGTCGCCTCCGACGCCACGTTTTTGCTGTCTGCACCGTGCTGCACCTGTCGCACAGAAGTGGAGGGCAGCAGAAGAGGTATGGATCGAACGTCGATCGCCGATAACTAGGTGGGACCCCCTGTGGGCCGCAGAAAGCCCACGCAGAAAAAGAACGGGCATGCAAGGAGGGGCGGCCGCACTCTGCAGACGACGGGGGTCTTCTTTGATCGATCACTTCCAAGAGGCCCCAAGATGGCCCCAGAGGCTCCCCAGGGTACCCCGAGATGGCCCGAAGAGGTGCCCAGGAGGCCACAAGAGGTCCCCAAGAAGCTCCGACGATGCCCCCAAGAGACTCCCAATATACACACAGGCACCCAAGACGCCCCAAGAGGCCTCGGCAAGAAGGCCCAACTCACTGATTTCCCGACGGTTTCGACCGCAGCTTGGCCTCCTGGGGGGACCTACTCACGGAGCCCCCTCCTTTGGTCGATCTCCTCCAAGATGGCCCCAAGATGCCCCACGAGGCTCCCAGGGGTGCCCCAAGACGGCCCCAAGAGGTACCCTAAGGGCCTTAAGAGGCCCCCAAGATGCCCTCAAGAGGCCCCCAAGGGGCCCCACGAGGCCCCCCCAGGGGCACCCAATACGCCCCAAGAGGCTTCTGCGAGAAGGCTAAAAACAATGTTTACTGAAGGTGTTGGCCACATGTTGGCCTCCTGGGAGGGACCCTATTTGAGGAGCCCCCCTCCTTTGGTCGATCTCCTCCAAGATGGCCGCAAGATGGGCCCCGAGGCTCCCAAGGATGCCCCGAGATGGCCCCAAGAGGTGCCCTGGGTGTCCTAAGGGGCCCCCAAGCGGCCCCGAAGATGCCCCTAAGAGACCCCCAAGAGACCACTAAGAGGCCCCCAAGAGGCTCCCCCAGAGCCACCCAAGACGACTCAAGGGGCCCCTGGGACTGCCTAGAGACCGCAACGACACCACAAGAGGACTCCAAGAAGCTTTCGGAAGAGGTTCCTGGCCTGTTCTGCTCTACCTCCTCCTCCTCCTCCTCCTCCTCTTCCTCCTCATCCTCCTCCTCCTCTTCCTCCTCCTCCTTCTCCTGCTCCTCCTCCTCCTCCTCCTCCTCCCTCTCCTCCTCATCCTCTTCCTCATCCGCCTACTCCTCCTTCTCCTCCTTCCTCCTCCCCCCTCCTCCACCTATCCCTCCTCCTCGTTCTCCTCCTCCTCCTCCTGCTCCTCCGATTTCTCCTCCATCCTCCCCCTCTTCGGGTATGACGTCGTACCCAGCCCTTTATTCCGGTGCATGCTCCTCCACATTCCTGATCAAGGCCACTCGTCTGGGCATCTTTTCTGGATGGGCTGGTGGGGTTACGCGAGACGTCTAGAATGTCAGACAAGCACGGCTTGATCGCAGCGATCGGGCCAACTGGCAGCGGGCAGCTCCGTGCAAGCAATAACGCATGCTCCTCTTCCTCCAACTCCTCCTCGGCAAGCCTGATGATGGAATCTCTCATCTGGTCCTGGTACTGCATCGCGCTGGACTGCGGCGCCACCAACGGGCGAACAGGGGGCCTGGCTCCCGCGCGGTGCGGAAAGACAGAGCAATCCTCGCCGTCCCCACACTTCTATGTCACGCTCGCTCGCTCCCTAAGCCGGCCTCGGCTGGAGGCGTGCGTGCGGTCGAGACAAACCTGCGCGAGGGCGAGAGAGATCGTGCTCCAGTGCCGGCCGGCTCATGTCAACGTGCGCACCCTCTCGTGAACGCCGCCCCCTTCTCGGGCCGTCCCAAGGCTGTCGTCCAAAGGTGGTCGAGTGATTGCCCCGTGGCTGGCCCGGCGCTCCTGGGGTTGTTCCGACGTTGCCCCGTGGAGGCCCTCAGGAGGCTCCCGAGAGGCTCGCGCAAATCTGTCTGCAACCAGGGCGCCGTCTCTACACGCAAAAGGTCTGTTTTCCCCAATCGGCCTTGCATCTCGCGGAAGGCATGTTTGCAATCGAAGAGCCTTCTCAGACCTACAGGAGCACACCTCGGGCAATAAGAAATTTGGGGGGTGGGTAGGTGCAGCTTTCGGTGTGCGGTTGGCGTCGGATTCGCGATCGACTAATATCTTGATACTTACCTCCCCATCGATCGGCCCGCGCAGTCTACCATCGCATCCAACTGCCCAAGCACCAATCGATCTTTTCATCCGCCACCGTGCAGCTGGGCACCGAGTGGGCGTCCTCAGGCCCCTTGCCTGAGGAGGCTTTGAGGGGCCCGAGCCCCAAATTCTCAAATCGCTCGGGGCTTGTCGCGTGCCCCCTGGGCTCCGGCGCACCTTGTCACATGATTTGTTCGGGCCCAGAAGGGCCCAAGACGGGCCAAGAGGGCCCCACGAGGCCCCCAAAACGGTCCAGGAGGTCCCGGAGTCGCTGAAAGATCGCGCCAAGACGCCCGAGATGGCCTCAAGATAGCCAAAGACGCTTTTGAGAAGCCCCAAAAGGCCTCCAAGAGGCCTCCAACAATCATTGATGTTCCGACGGTTCTTGAAAGACAGAGCGTTCTCGCCTTTTCTCTTATCCGACGCTCCAAGGCGGCGCATCAAGTTCCCAATGGCATCCCAAGACTGCCCAAGAGGCCTGCAAGAGGACCCCAAGACGGCCCAAGAGGCGCCCAAGACGGCCCAGGGAGGCCCTAAGACGGCCCCGAAAGGGGCCCAAGAGAGGGAAGCCGAACCGAAAATCCGACCCGTCCGTCCCAACAGCCTCGAGGAGGCCCCAAGAAGCGCCCAAGAGGCTCCAAGAGGCCCCAAAGAGTCCCCCAAGAGGCCCAAAAGAGGCCCGAAACCGGCTCCCCAAAGGCCCCAAGAGATCCCCAAGAGGCCCCAAGAGAGGCCCAAAAGAGGCCCCAAGAGGCACCAAAACGGCCCCCAAGAGGCTTCAAAACTGCCTCCAAGAAAGAACCCCCCGAACGCCCTCACAAGATCCCAACAAACATCCAAGATGCTTCATACCCACAATCCAGGCACGGTGAGGAAATGGGAGGCCATTGTACAGCTCGACCTCCCAATCTCTCATTCTACCGACTACACTTCCTGCATGCAGATGCATGCGACAGTCGCCAGCAGACCCTGCGACGATATGGTCGCAATCGTGCGCTGTACGACGTGGCAGCGCGGCAGCGATGCTACTGGCAACGAGGAGGAAGGAGAAGCAGCGAGGGGGCTTCCTGGCTGCAAGGATGCGCGCTGGACCTCCTGGCGCCGTCTGGCCCTGCGTGGCCCACGGCGGGCGAACGAGGCCGTGCCTGGGACCCGTCTCGCCGAGGCGGCTTCGTCACCACCATAGGTTGGAAGGGGGAAGGATGAGCACGAGGAGGAGGAGGACGAAGCGGAGGAGGAGGTGGTGGTGGAGGAGGTGGAGGTGGAGTTTGTCCAGCAGTTTCATTTCTCACGTGGTGAGGTTGGGGCGGGTCTGGGGCCGCCGCCACCTCAGAGTCCAGGTAGCTCTTGTGGACCTGGTTATCCGAGATGTCCTTGTTCTTTCCTCTGCTTTCGGCCTCGCCCGCTTCTCCTCCTCTTTCCTTGCTCAACGTTCGTAACTTTTGTCTTTAGCTTCTTTGAGCATGCGGAAGAGCGGAGCCATCTTTTCCCTTTCAGCTTTTCCTGCTTGGTCATGTTCCTGTTCTTTCAGCTCATGTGGGTCCTCTTCTCGTGGTTTGGCTCCTCTTCTCGCTGTCCGTCTTTCCCCGATGTCACGGGGTAACTTCATTTCTCCTACGTCGAGGGGCTCACTACTTGCTTCTGCGCTTTCGGCACACCCTGCGCTCTCATGCGCCCTTTTCGTCGTGCTCCCAATTATTGCCGCTTTGTTTATTGCTTCATTGTTTCTTCCTCTCTTTCCGCCTTCCTCCGCAACTTCTACTCGTCTTTCCTGGTTCAACTTTCGTAGCTTTCTTTCTTCAGCTTCTTTCAGCATGTGGCGTAGCGGAGCCTTCTTTTCCCTCTCAGCGTTTCCGTCGTGCACAGGATCCTGTTAGTTTAGCTCTTATGGGTATTCTTCTCGTGGCGTTGCTCCTCTTCTTTCTTTCCCCCGTGTCACGGGGTAACTTCAATTCTCTTTCGTCGCGGGCCCCCCCTCTTGCTTCTGAGCTTTCGGTTACCCCTGCGTCAAGGGGCTCATTCACATTCGTGGGGTTCGCGGCCTGCGTCCTTCTCGTCGCACTGCTCGCACTTGCCGTGCCCTCATCCGCCCTTTTCGCCGTGCTCCCAATTCTTGCGGCTTTCTTCCCCGCTTCCTTGTTCAATCCACTCTTTCCGCTTTCCTCCGCTTCTTCTCCTCGTCTTTCCTGGTTCCACTTCCGTGGCTCTCTTCCTTCAGCTTCTTTCAGCATGCGGGATAGCGGAGCCGTCTTCTCCCCCTCAGCTTTTCCGTCGTGTACAGGTTCCTGTTGTTTCAGCTCTTGTGGGTATTCTTCTTCTCGTGGTTTTGCTCCTCTTCTCATTTCTTGTCCTTCCCCGATGTCACGTGGTAACTTCGTTTCTCTTTCGTCGGGGGGCGCACCTCTTGCTTCTGAGCTTTCGGCTTCCGCTGCGTCAATGGGCTCAGTCGCATTCGTGGGGCTCGTGGCCTGTGCCCTTCTCGTCGCACTGCTCGAACTTGCCGTGCCTTCGTCCGCCCTTTTCGCCGCGCCCCCAGTCCTTGCCGCTTTCTGTGTTTCTTCCTCTAGAGGAAAAAGAACTATGCACATGCACCGATTCTGGCCAGGCCCATCCTGAGCCCAGGATCGGTGCATACGCCCTCCTACCTTGGCCAGGAAGGCATATGCACCGATCCTGGGTCAAGGATGGGCCTTGCCAAGATCGGTACATGTGCATAGTTCTCTTCGCCCGATCCTCTCGGGCTTTCCCTTTACTCCCAGTGTTTTCGGCTTTCACATTCCTCTGGTCCCCCATGTCACGGGGGTGGTCGTCCTCATACTGTATCTCGGCCGCTTTCCTCTCTTCCTCGTCGTCGCGATCTTCTTCCTCTGTTCTTTCTTTGGCTTCTTTCAGCATCTGGAATGTTCCCTGCGTGCTTGAAATTCAGGGTCGATGTCTTTGTCTTCTTCCAGCAATTCTTCCCTTGGCTTTTTTCCACTTCTCGCTGCTTTTCATCCCTTGGCTTCCTTTGCAGCTCTCTCCTCTCCTCCATCTAGGGCCTTCGTTTTATATCCTCAGTCCCGCCTTGTCCATGAGATGCTGCCTTTGCTTCCTCCTTTTCGCCGAACTCCCTGAGCTTGCCGCGTTCGTTCCAGCGTCTGTTTCTTCTTTTCGTTTACCGATTTTGCCGTTTCCGTAGCTGGGGCCCCCTGCGCCAGGGGGCTTAGTTCCATCCGTGTACGTCGTAGCTTGCTTCCTGTTTTGCCAAGCCCCCCTTGCTTGTCATGCCTTCTTCTGCTTTGGCACGTGCTCTTGTGCTTTCACCTTTTCCATCCGCGCCAGATGCCAGATCTTTCGCTGGACCCCCTTGCTCACGTGGCGACATATCGTCTAGTAGCCGCAATGGCACACTAGGTCGTTGCGCTCTAACGCCTTCCAGCGTACGTGGCGACGTCGTGCCTAGTAGCCGCAATGGTACACTAGGGCTTTGCACCCTAACGCCCGGTTCCAGACCGCACTGCCTACCGTCCGCAGGTGCTGCTTCCGTGCGACGGTCATCTTCCACGTTTCCTCCTTGAGCGTGTTGATATGGTTCTTGTGTGCGTTCAATAATCTGCTCTTTTCCCATGGAACTGTCCGCGCTTGCTGCTTCATTCGTCGTTCTCTCCGTCGTGCGCGCAGTCCATTCCTCCTTTTTCCCGGAAAGGGCTATGGCCCAGGGTTCTCTTTTAGTATGTAAACATATCCCCCCGTGCCCAACTTGAAGGAGGCCGGCGGATTCTTTCCCTGATAAATATCGAAGTCGAAGGAGGCCGGCGGATTAAAATTTGAGGATGTCTCAGGCGAAACGCTTGTTTTTGAAATCCCGATCGATAAATCACAGGGTGCGGGCCACCTAAGCACGACCACATCCCAGCACGACCACGCCCCAGCACGACCACGCCCCAGCGCGACCAAGCCCCAGCACGACCACACCCCAGCACGACCACGACCCAGCACGACCACACCCCAGCACGACCACACCCCAGCACGACCACACCCCAGCACGACCCGATCGATAAATCACAGGGTGCGGACCACCCCAGCACGACCACACCCCAGCACGACCCCACCCCAGCACGACCCCACCCCAGCACGACCACGCCCCAGCACGACCACACCCCAGCACGACCACACCCCAGCACGACCACACCCCAGCACGACCCCACCCCAGCACGACCCCACCCTAGCACGACCACACCCCAGCACGACCACACCCCAGCACGACCACACCCCAGCACGACCCCACCCCAGCACGACCCCACCCCAGCACGACCACACCCCAGCACGACCACACCCCAGCACCCCACCCCAGCACGACCCCACCCCAGCAACCCCAGCACCACACCCCAGCACGACCACACCCCAGCACGACCTCACCACAGCACGACCACACCCCAGCACGACCACGCCCCAGCACGACCACGCCCCAGCACGACCACGCCCCAGCACGACCACCCCCCAGCACGACCACCCCCCTAGCACGACCACCCCCCAGCACGACCACCCCCCAGCACGACCACACCCCAGCACGACCACACCCCAACACGACCATACTCCAGCACGACCACACCCCAGCACGACCACACCCAGTCGCACCCCCGTGGAATGTTTCGTGGGGTGTCTGGTTGAGTGGTTGCCTGTTCGTGGGGTGTCTCGTGGAATGTTTCACGGGGTGTCTCGTGGAATGTTTCGTGAGGTGTCTCGTGGGTTGTTTCGTGAGGTGTCTCCTGGGATGTTTCGCGGGGTGTCTCGTGGGATGTTTCGTGAGGTGTCGCCCAGTTGGATATCGTGAAAACGTGACCATGCTGCACATGTCTATATCCCTTTCCGGGTTCGTGGGTCCATCATGTTTGCTTCGCCTCTGTCGCGTTGCTCTGGTCGTCCGTGCTGCTCATCATGTACTCCATGTAGCCAGCTCCTCAGCTTGTACTTCACCGAACTGTACCAAGGCCGCCGTTGGCATCTGTTACGCATCCTCTCCGACACATACCCTGCCGCCGTGCCTCCGCATCGCCTGCATACATACCTTCCTTCCAACATTTGGGATCCATATCAGCGGGCGCGTCTCGTGCGAGGTGGCCCCGTTGATGCATATCTGTGCTCCTTCTGGTGCGGGAGGTCCTTGGCAGCCTTCAGTCAGCCACTCGCGAATGTACTCCATCCCCGTCTGCTTGCTGATCTTCTCCTCGCAGTGGGTGCATTTCCATCCTCTCCATTTTACCAGCTCCTTCAGCGCGTGCGTGGTATTTGGGGGCTCAGCTTGCGCCAGGGTTTCGACCTTGTGCTTCCTTCCTTATCTTTCCTTCTGCTTGGCTCATTGCCTTTCTCTTTTAGCTTCCTGTTCTTCTGGTGGTCTGCGTTCGATTGCCTCCTTCGTCATTGTCAGTATTCTTTTGCGCGCCATGCAAGCCGTCCATCTTATCCGCTCGTAGTTGGCCATGGTCGAGCGCGGTATTGCGTGCAGTGCTGCCCCTTTGCCTGCCACGTCGTCCGCTGCTTTGTTTCCAGCCCAGACTGGTCGTGGCATTCCTTTCGCTCTCGCCTCTTCCCAGTCCGCGCGGCTGTTCACGTGCATGACGGCGATCTCTTGTTCGACGCCGCCTCTGCCTTTGATAGCTGTGCCACAGTTTCTTTATATGTCCTGGTTGCCTCCTGTTATGCGTGGTCTGTTGTGTCCCCCGATGCGCCAGCCCTTCATGGGTATGTCGCTGTCCGTCCAGTACCCCACCGTACCCTTCGCGCTGGAAGTGCGACCCAATAATCCCCAAAGCTCCGCTCTGTTGTTCGTCTGCCTTGCTCCAGGGAGTGCGCCGGCTTTGCTGCCTTGGTTGACCGTTGGAGTATTAACCTCCTGATCCGTCGCCGCACCCTACGATGACGTTGCAACTGCTGGTGCGCTCCTCGTCGATGCACTCCCCGACGTGTCTTTCTTCGCGCCCAGTTGTGCACGGCTCGGGTGTTGCCCGCTCCTTCGGTTGCCCTTGCCCTGAGTCTTTCCGTCTGTTCGAAAATCTCGACGTTTGATCTCTGGTTGCGTATCCCCCATATGCGGTTTGCGTCGGTCTCGGCCCCCCCCCGCATTCGCATCTGTCGTCCGTGTCGCAGTGCTGGTGCGTACGTGATCTCGCCCATGTTCCCGCACATGCCGCCGTGCGCAGTGCTCCGTACCTCTGATGTTCACCTTGTTTTCGTAGTCGGTGTAGGTGGCCCCGCATGTCTTGGCAGACAGCTCCCTGTTCGAGTCATCGTCCCATGTAGTGATCTGCAGCTCCTGGCCAAGTTGCCCGCAAAAGGTTTTCATAATTTCGTCTAGGGTGTCCGTTTGATCTCCGTCTTCTTCTCTTTCTGGGAACGCCCACAATTCACCGCTTGGGCTCGGCCACATTGTTGGTCCTCTGGTGCCCCAGCCAAGCCCCCATAACATGAGTATGATACCTCCCAGGGGCCCTCGTCGCACCCTCCATCTATTTTGCGGTTGCCTCTCCATAATCTGGAATTAAATCCTCGGCTGCGCCCGTTTGGTTTGATGCCTCAGCTCTGGGGGGTGGGACCAGACGTCGAAGAATGCTGTGCTCTGGCCTCTTGCCATCGAGTCAGCAAGATCATGACCCCCCAGGGCTAAAAATGTCGCACAGCATCTGCCAGCCCAGGGTCGTCTTATCGCCTGAACATACTTTCGTCGTGCCCGCTGCAGAGCATGCAGTGCAAGTCCGCGGCCGATTGCCCCGTTCATCATCGATGCCATTGCCCCTTGATTACAACCCGCTCTCCGTGCTTGAAGTTTGGTTATTTTCAGCTTCTTCTCGGCTTCACGCATCCGTCTGAAAGCGCCCCTTAGCCTCTTGCCGTGCGTGTCTCTCTTGGTCGCGCCCTTTGCCACTCTGTCGTGCCCGAGGTCTCTGCCCCCCGTCGCCGCCTGGATGTCGATCTTTACATCCGCGAGCCTCTTTTGCATCTTGGTGCTGTTCTTGAAGTTCGTGGGGAAGAGCAGATATTGATCTGCCAGGTTGAGGCCGCGCGCCTTTAGAGCGTCACGAAGTTCCCGCGTGGTCTTTACCACGCCATCAATAACTGCCCCCCTGCCCCCCGTCACCCCGACGCTGATGTCGTCAAACCACGCCCCCGGCGCAGGTTTAGGAATGCGCAGATCCAGCCCAGTTATCCTTGCCAAAACTGCGTACACAATCGTCTTTGCCACATTGCTTGAACGCCGTGAGCCTGCAAGTATTGATTTATCCGCGTATACTGGCAGTGAACATGCCGCTTTGCACCTGAATACCCGGGCCGACAAATGCTGCAGCATTCACATGAATCGTATTCTTGCCGAGAATCCTAGCTCCAATGCTGCTGCAAGAACCCCATATTGCTTGAGGCTGTCATAGAACTTCTCGATGTCTGCCAAAAGGTTGCTGTTGTTGATCTCCATCGCGCCCATGCGCTCGTCCGTGATGGCGCGTCGCAGCGCTTCCCGTAGACAGCTGTTGCCTTGCGTCGCCGCATCCCATTCCCGCTCCTGCCCCTTCGCCCATGATCTTACCCTCGGCCGATGCAGTAGCTCCCAGCATCTTACCAGCTGTGGTAGAAGTGCCAGTGCCCTGCCCCCTTTCTTTGGATTCGGGGTGATCTCATGACTACCGAACACAATAACTGCCATGGCCACATCGCCCTCGCCTCGCACTCGTTGAACAAGTCCACGATTGCCTGCCTTCCCGCTTCAGGGCGTCGTCGTATGTCACTGCATGATAACTCATCAACTCCTTGCCCTCTGTCTGGCCCTCCCTTCAGCGCGGTATCCAAGTCGCCGAGCGTGCATAACTTAGGGTTCTCCGGGCGCGCCACTCTCCTTAGACACTCGAGGTTCTGACAGCGCCTCCCGTGTGGGTTGCCAGGGTCCGCCCAGGTGGCCTTGAACATCTCCGCTCTGAGGTTCACGATCTCCGTGGGGCAGCATAACACTCCGCTTGACGTCGCTACTTCTTCTTCGCGCCGTACAAGAAGGTTTCGTTATCTTGTGCAGTCTTCCTGGTTCCTTCTCCGCCATAGCCAGCCATGTAGCATAGGTGCGAGCCCCTTCGCGTAGGTCTCGCTGTGCCGCTGCCTGCCTCTCGTTCTCCGCCTGCCACGCCATTCCCTCCAATACCTCTGCGCCGACGCTCTTCAGACTCCTCATGCGCTGTGCCCATATTGATCTATGCAGCTCCGCCGTCGGCGTCGCGTTTCCAGCCCCTGGGATCCCTTTTTAATACCAGTCGCCTCGCTGCCTTCATGAGCGTGTCGATCTGCCGTTCCGCTTGCCCCTTTTGTCTGTGCTTGATCATCTTGTTGAGGATTGCTTCCGTCCTGCTCCACCAGTCCGCTCTCATACTTGCATACCGTGTCCGTCTTTCTCCTTTCTCGCGTACGTTGACCGTCTCAAAGGATGTAGCTTTCCCTCTCCCCTTGTAGTATGCGCGGTCCTCGAAGTCGATCTTGTAGCACATGCAGTAGAACGTCTCCAGCGCACTCATGGTTCTGTTGTACGTTCTGGCCAGAGCTCTTGCGCCTTCTGGGTCCGACTTGTAGGCCGCACCCGCTGCAATAAAGGATGGCGGCTCGTCTGCTTCATCTCTGGCGTGAATGATTGAGGCTGCTTTCCGTTCTTCGTTCATTACCGTGGTGTCGATATTGGGCGTTGCCTCCACAGTGCGGTCCTTTAGCGACTTGCTCGCCCTGTTGCCCGCTCTTCCCAATGGATTATGGCCACTAGCGTCGTGCGAGCTGGAGTGTCCATCACTTTCATGGGCCTTCTCGCTCGCATATCGTATCACATGCTCATACATGGGGCTGCCCATCTTCCCGTTTACATCGCCGTAAGTAGCCTGGAACTCCATTTCCATATCCTCCTCGTAGCGCACCAGCTCCTCGTACGGGTCAACTTCCCCGCAACCGCCATCCTCCTCATAGTCGATCGTGTCGTCGAAGGGGTCCACTTCGTCGCTGTACATGTGGTTCACTGTCTGGCTGTGGGCCCTGCTCCCGTGAGGCTCTGTCCGCACGGGCTGGCCCTGGTACTCGTTTCCGCATCCTGTTCCAATCGTAATTCGCCCAGGCGAAGTCCCCCGACTCTGCCGCTCGCTGTATTCGCGGTTCTCATGGCATCCGCGGGCTACTCCCTCCCCCTCGCATACCGACAGGCGGTATCCCAGGGTAAGGGTCCGCTCTGGTACTGACGAGGTCCTGGCTGCCATGGTGTTGGTCGTGTAGTCCGCGTCATACACTCTGGGTTCGTCAGGGACCTCCGCCGTTGAGCCCGTCTTCTCGTCCTGCATCACTGGGTGTCTGCTCCAGCCATCTGGCCTCAAAGCTTCCCACCTCGCGCAGTCCAGGTCTCTCTCTCTCTCGCCCAGGGCCCGGTCCAGACTCTTGAGCCTCTTGACCGAGGGTTGGAGCCCACGAATCTGTGCTTTCCTTTATCTCTCCCGATTGCTCGAGGAAGTAGCGAGGGGGCCTCGTGGCAGGGACTGGCCATCGCTCGGACGTCCATTCCCTGTACTTTTCCCGGTTTCACGCGCGGTTTTTTTTTCGCCAAGTGATCAAGGATGCTCCTCGATGGCCCTCGCCGAAGGCAAAATGCACACGTCCGAGCGATACCGAGGGGAGGCGTATCCGCACCCACGGCCTCACGGCCCCGACCGCTCCGCCGCGATCCAGCGGACAGTCGGCGGCCCTGCGCGGCTGCTCCGCCCGGAATCGCGTAGCCGTGGGATCGCGTATAGCCTTGGGGACACGCGCCTCGGTGCCCAGACCGCGGGGGCATCGGCAGGGACAGATACGCGCGTCGCTCGTGAGAGCGGATCGGAGGGAGCGCGAGGGAGGGGGGGGAAGAGGGAGAAGGAGGATGAGGAGGGGAGGGGAGCGGAGGGAGGAGGGAGCGCGAGGGAGGGAGGGAGAGGGAGAAGGAGGATGAGGAGGGGAGGAGAGCAGAGGGAGGAGCTCCTCCCGGGCCTGGGTGCAGCATGCGGGAGCGTGCCAGCGAGAGCAAGCCCAGCCGCGCGCCGGACGACGTGGGGCGACTGCTGCTGAGTCTCCTCGTCCCAGTCGTCACCCCAGGACTCACCTCCCAGCGGAGAGGGAGGTTGAGGTGGCATCCGCAAAAGCAAGGGCAGACTGGCGTGAGGCAAGCGGGTCCTAGAGGAAAAGGGTCGCCGATGTCGGGCTCATGGGCCCTCCGCGGATAATGGGGCCGTCAAGAAACGATTCAACATGAGGAACTGATCTGGAGGTAAGCCCCAAGGTATAGGACAGTTTCCTTCATGACGCCTTCCGTTCATGGCGATGCAAAGAAAGTTGCAATCATAGCGATGCGTTCCTGGTGTGCCAAAGCCCATGCCAACCAATCGCCATTGACACGCTTCCACTGGACTTCGCAGAGCTAGCGCGCGCTTGTGCCAAACATTTGGCTCTGGCCGCTGCTTCCTGGAAGATAAAGCCTTTCTCGAGGAAACCAGCTCAGACCAGGAGGACACTGAGGAACACGAGAAAAAGGAAGTGGATGAGGGAAGGGAAGGATGGTGTGGATGAAGGGAGGACGAGGAAGGAGGAGTGGTCGAGTAGTGAAAGCCAAGGGATTGCCTTCTGCGGCCCCTGGTGGTCCCTGGTCGGCCGCCACTACTCTCTTCGACTTCCCTGTGCAGCTCGCCATCTGACCACGAGGGTAGGGGAGGAGGCCGCAAAAGCAGAAACACCTGACAAGGGAGATGATGAGAGGAACGGTGGGGAGACGAGCCAACAACACACGAAGAGACACGCCATGGAGGGCCGCGATCTGAAACTGGCTGGAAACCAGGACCATGCGGCGTTGTGCAGTGGGGCCAGAGCGACGGCTCAAACTAAGCAAGCGATGCGTTTGAAACATCAGCCGCGTCTTCCTTTGACACTGAATTTGGTCAACTGCGCGACGACGTATCTTACATCATCATGTGTGAAGATACCGTGTGGACTCAAACTCAGAGCTCGACTTCCTTAGCCTTAGCACCTCCGACAAAGAACCATTGCATGCCCCAGATTGAAATGTCCGCTCGGTTGAAAACTGTTCGCAAAACTAGCCGTGCAGATTTGGGACTTCTCGGATACCCGACATTCCCCTCGTCTGCAAAAGCTCCGGATTTCAGAGAGCTAGTCCTTGGCTAACTGGGGAAGATAAGGAGTGGGTCATGACATAAATCCTGAGCAGAAGAAAATATTCTCTCAAGGCACACTTCGGAGGGCGGCCCGAAAGCCGCACAGCAAAGCTCACTCCACCGAAGAGCCACAACCCCACCAGCCATCAGGGCGTAGGTGGTTTAGGGAGTTTCCTCTTCCACCCCTCCGTCTTTCCCTTCGAGGAGGGGTTTACCCCACCCCCTACTCCCTCCCCTGGACCTGGGCGGGGCCGGTCGCGGGTAGTTAGAGCGCCCAACACGGCCTCGGCGAGGAAGCCACACTCATTTGTTTTACCACGTTTTTGGCTTCATTTTGGCCTCTTGGGAGGGCGACGCTAAAATGAGCTTCCCTCTTCTTTGATCGATCTCCTCCGAGCTGGCCCCAGGAAGCGCCCAGGAGGCCCCAAGAGGTCAAGATGGCCCCGGCGCCCGGCCCCTGTCAGCCGAAAAGATACGTGACCGAAACAAGTCTGTGACCGAACACGTGGCCAGAATCCCACCAGCCCTTTGGGCGTGAGTGGTTTAGGGAGCTCTCTCTGTTCTCAACCCCCCTTCTTCCCCTTCGGGGAGGGGTTTACCCCTCCCCCTACCCCCTCCCCCTGGACCTGGAGATGGGCAGGTGGGGATACGCGAAGCGTAAAGAATTGTTAACTGGAGGCGAAGTGTGACTGAGACTGTGGCCGAAATAGAAATCGTATCGGCTGCGACCCACGAGTGCTGATCACGCTCTGGCGCGTTCGGGTCTCGGACAGGTTTCGGGCTCACTTTCGACCACGACACCCTCCTGATGGAGACGAGGCTGCGTGAGGGATGGGGGCAAGGGTGGAGAATTTCGGGTTGGAAGTTCGAGGTGCTCGGACGGTTTCGTTGGTGCTCGGCGTGTTTTCTCGCCTCGGGTTGCCTTTTCAGCGGCTGCGCCTCACCGAAAGCGCCCTGGGGGTGCCCAGATCGTCCCGAACGGCCGCTGGAGACCCGAGCCGCGACTCAGGGGCAACGCTAGGGGCGGAACATGCTTCGCTGGGTAACGCATCTACCCGCAGTCGCCAATCGCACGCGGATCGCCGACAGGGGGCCCGATGGCCCTTCCCGCCCAGGCACGTGCCAGCTCGCTGTCGGTCTGTCGCCGATCTAGCGGCGATGCGTCGCAGAATGCAAGTCACTGCTCTCCCCGAGTCATCGTAAGAGTGACCCTTCGCCGGAGTGACCTTTGGTGCGGGCCCCATGGGGTCCCCCGATCGCCGAACGCGAGGCGGCAGTGGCGTCTTGCGCGCTTGTGTGTTGACCCCCCCGCGGCCCCTCAAAAGCAACGCACCAAAGGTTACTCTCACCCAGTGTCACTCTTGCGTTTAGTCGATGTCTCCCACCTGAGCTGGTGCCCCCCGGAGCTTCCTCGCCGCTGCGGCTGGAGCCGCGTCGAGATTCTGGTCCAAGCGGCTTCCAGGGAGGGTCCGGTTGTGACCTTTGCTCCCCGAGTCCAGACATCCATGGTGCTGAACACCCAAGTAAGCGTGGACTGCTGTTCGCTGTCTCGGCCTCGGGTGGCCCTCGCCTGGCCCGGGACCGTCAAAAAGCGGCACAGGATGGAGAGTTTGTCCTGGGACAAGGTCGGGGCCTATGAACCGAAAATCTAAACGCTTCGCGTATCCCCACCAGCATTTCCCCGCATCGCAACGTGGGAGATCGCCCCCTGGCGCTGTTGCCCCCTGGTGTTTACTCCCCGGCCACGCTGACGACGTTCATCCCCGCCAGTCTGGCTTCCTTGCCGCGCTCCGCGCTGCTCTCTGCGACGCTATGGCGTGCGTGCGGCCATGGGCCAGGCCCACGGGATTCTCCTCAGTGCCGGCTCGTTGCCGTTGCTCGGGACTGGTGGGCCCCCTGGATACTGGCGGTCGCTTCGGAGTGGTTCAGCCTTCCGCCGTACGCAAGGTTCCATCCTGGCTCCGTCCCAGCCGATCAGGCAGGCCTACGCCGTCGACGCGGCCCTTGCTCAGCTTACCTGGCTGGTCTACGCCGTCGTCACGGTCTTGGCCCTTGGCGCCCCCCTGGCGACTCGACCATCGTATACCTCGCCCTTCCCCGCCACCATGTTTGAGAGGGTCGCACGTGCAGGCCACCCACCTGCTTCCGCTTGCACCTCCACCTGTGTGGTCTGACGCCGCCGCGCGTTAACACCGAATTCCCTGGCATTTTGCTCTGGGCTGCACGTTGCTCGAGCTTCCCTGGGCGTTCCAGATCAGTCAGCCAGCCCCCACCCTGCTGCCCCAGCTGCCGCCTTGTGAGCTGGCCCGGCCGGTTTGTGTCGCGCCCAGTAGCGAATTAGGCTTGCCCGTCGGCCCGGACACCCTGTTCGCCGCCTGCGCTCTTCGCTTGCGGCCGCGACCAAAAAAGTATCCCCAGCAGCCCATCCAGAAACGATGTCCAGGCGAGTTGAGGTGATCAGGGAACTGCGGGAGCAAAGAGGGGATCGGCCGAACCGTGCGAAGGAGGGATGAGGAGAAGGAGGAGGCTGGATGGATGGATGAGGGAGTTGGGATAAGGAGGGTGAAGAAGAAAAGGAGGAGGAGGAGGAGGAGGAAGAGAAGGAGCAGGAGGAGGGAGCAGGAGCAGGAGGAGGAGGGCAAGCAAAAGGCCCAGTGGTCTCTTGGATGCCTCTCGGAGCCTCTTGGGGTATATTTTGGGCGCTTCTTGGTGGCCTCTTGGGACGTCTTAGGGGGGTTCTTGGCGGTCCTGGGGGGCTCTTGGGCGTCTTGGGTGCCTCGGGGGGGCCTCTTGGGGCAGCTTGGGGGTCCACTTGGGGCCCTCCTGGGGGCCTCTTGAGGGCCTCTTCCATGACAATCCCCACCAAAACGTCAGGCCTGAGCTGGATCGACTCGCGAAGTGGGTCGGATCGGAGAAGGGTCGGATCGCCCAAGCATCGTCCCGAATCGAACCGAAACCAGACCACCGCGCCCGGATCCGACCAGCCCTGGCCGATGCTTGGGGACTGAACCAAACCGAATCGGAATCGCGGCCCCAGCCGGCGACTCGAATCCTAGAGTTCCGCCGCCCCCCGCCCGCGCCGAGATCCGAGAAAGGAGGAGGAGGAGGAGGAGGAGGAGGAGGAGAAGGAGGAGGAGGAGGAGGAGGAGGAGAAGGAGGAGGCGGAGGAGGAGGCGCCGAATCGCATCGCAGGCGGCCCTGAACGCTGCCCCTGCGGAGGAGCGGCCGCGGCGCGGCGGGGCCCCACCGGCGCCGTCCCAGCTCTGGCCGCCGCCCCAGGCGGCGTCCGCGCCGCCCGCGGGCCCGAGCCTGCCGGCCCAGCCCTTGCTACCTGCGGGCAGGGCGGGGAGGGCCAGCCCCTCCTCCGCCTCCTCCTCCGCCTCCGCCTCCTCCTCCTCCGCCTCCTCCTCCTCCTCCTCCTCCTCCTCCCTCCTCCTCCTCCTCCTCCTCCTCCTCCTCCTCCTCCTCCTCCTCCTCTCCTCCTCCTCCTCCTCCTCCTCCTCCCCTCCTCCTCCTCCTCCTCCCACTTCTTGCTCCTCCTCCGCCTCCGCATCCTTCTTCTCCTCTCCTCCCTCCTCCTCCTCCTCCCCCTCCTCCTCCTCCTCCCCCTCCCTCCTCCTCCTCCTCCTCCTCCTCCTCCTCCTCCTCCTCCTCCTCCTCCCAGAACACCCCAGCTTAGAGTTAAGAGCATCTGAATCTAAGACATGGCCTTCCCTCGAAGCGTTTCTTTAAACTGTAGTCCAGGTACGGGTCCACTACAATTCTACGAAAGAACAAACAACTCAAACAAAGAAAACGAGCAGGGCCTAATCCAAATGCTTGATGTTCTTCGACGACACCTGGAAACCAGGAACAATGCAGCCTATTATTCAGATTTCTGATGGGTGTACATTCATCGGCTGGGGTGCTCCCCTTCCCATACTCCACACACATGTCCGTTAGAGTAGCCTGCCAAACATTATGCACTCAATTGCCCGTGTAATGTACTGCTAGTGTGAAATTGCTTTTCTGTTCTTCAACATCAATATGTCTTTTCAGTGGCTGAAGGCCTCATCCTTCAAGATGCATCATGCTTCAGCCTCACAGCACAACCCACTGTCTCACAGTTGTGCTATGCGGTTGCAGGAAATTGCCCAACGCACGCAGAACATGGATTTCGTCAGTCTGGACGGATATAAACAACCAGACGTGGCGCAGTGGAGGGCAGGACCTCAGAGGTGGTACTGTTCACACTGGAGGTTCCATCATGTTTGGCCCCGCATCCCCCGCAGGAGCATCAGGAACGTGTGGACAACACCGCAGGCTGCAGCTAGCCGATAGCTAGCGATCAGAGCAAGCAACAAGCAATGTGGCGTCGGCATTCGTAGCATGTACTTCCAACCTCCGCCACAGTATGCTCAACAGGTACCAGCTTATCATCGTGCACGTGATCTACTATGCAAGTGGCGTCAAGGGCGCACATATGTTTACCACCAATTGTTTTCTTGGGTATCAGCTCGAGTTTGGGACTGCAAAGACAGCCGAGGCAAGATGGATGGAAGCCAGTTCTTTGATGATGCAGCCCCCCCAACACGACAGACATACTGCTGGCGAGTTACTAAAATTCCTGGAACACTTGACTATAATGTGTATCAACCAATTCCGTGGTGGACCTACCTACTACAACTCAAGTGGAGCAAACACGCACTTCCATTTCACATTCGCACTCGGTGCTTACTCAACTCAGTAACTAGTGCTGGCCCCATCGACAAGAATTGCCACGGAGATTCAGATCATATCATTCAGACATCGCGGCAACAATCCAGTACATGTGCGAACGGCTTGCTTGATGTCAGCAGTATGTACATTACAGAGCCACTCGGAATCAACGATTCGACATTGGTTTGCGTATCAGCCTATTCGATGAAACGGAAACACTCATGGACGCTCTTGGCCGAGGTACAACCCGACCAGCATTTCTCAAAGCAGTAGAGGACAAGCAGACTCAATCAATAATCGCATGCACACTCAGATTCTACAGCAAGAACGGACACGGAATCATGAGAGGCCTGATGTCGTACAAGTGATGGCGCAAGAGGCCACACAGATTTGTGTCACCTGCTCTGTCGAACCAGAGGAGGGGCGCAAGCAGAGCGCAGATCAAGTCTTAGCACTTCTGCGAGTGCGGCGCCAACTACGCTTTCAACTAGCAGCGCAGAAGGCTGCTCTTACCACGCAGCCGCGGAACTCATCTTGCTCTCAAAGACGATGGCACCAATACGTGACTCAAGAACTATTACCTGCGTATCAGCAAGGCCGACAAGCTGAACTCGAAACACTTTGTTTACTTGGGGAAGATAACCCTGAAAGGTCTTGAGACCCCCCCAGTAGGGGGTAACTAATTATGTCCGGCGGCCGTATTGAAGGACTGGGGTCCCACCAAAAGGGGGTAATGCAATATTTTGTTTCGCGGCACCCGCCGCGCAACAACGAGACGGAGGAGGAGGAAGCGGAGGCGGAGGAGGAGGAGGGAGACAGAGGAGGAGGAGGAGGACTTAGGACCAGCCCCATTCACCGCCAAGAGGAGAAGGGTGGGGGACCAACACTAAAAACCTTCAGGGGTCATGATGGAAGTATACATCCTTTCCAGGTGGCAAGCCCAGGTTGACAACATCAATTCCATGTGGAAGCAGACATCCTTTCCGCGTGGCAAGCCACTGGTAGGTTCTTGACGGTATCACGAATGAGAACAGCCTCCTTCTCGGCACTTAAGAGTAGCAAGAACAGGAAACGCAGTACCACCGTGCTTCCACTTGAGTTATTACGGATGGTTGTTCACACTTGATCGACGCACGTCGCGCAGGTATCGAGGCTTGGGATGTCAGGTATCCGAAGATCGACCTGCGTGGCACGAGGACTTTTCTATAGAATATGTTGTACACAATTTTTCGCACGGGTGAGGTACACTTGTCTTGGGATTTATACCACGGGGTTGCTATCATGTGGAAGCGCGTCATTCATGCTGTTTACTGTTTGGGACAGTTTTTCCCTACCTGGGCTCTGCCTAGCAGGGTTCTTACTCTCGTCGCTTAAAGGGGCCGGGCAGTGGAAATCGCCCCGGGCGGTTCCCCCAGTCCCCTGGGAGCCAAGCAAAAGCAGCAGCAAAGGTAAAAGCAAACGCGCGGTTTCCCCAGTTGCGCTCCCTGGGTGCCAAGCAAAAGCAAAAGCAACGGCAAAAGTGAAGGCAAAAGCGAAGGCAAAGCAACAGCAAAAGCATAGCATAGCATAGCATAGCGCAGCATAGCATAGCGCAGCATAGCATAGCATAGCATAGCCTGGCCTAGCCTGGCCTAGCCAAGCATAGCATTGCGCAGCATAGCATAACATAGCATAGCATAGCATAGCGCAGCACCGCATCCACTATTGCTGCTGCTGCGCTACTACTACTACTACTACTACTACTACTACTACTACTACTACTACTACTCCTACTAATACTACTTCTACTACTACTACTACTACTACTACTACTGCTACTACTACTACTACCACTACTACTGCTACTACTACTACTACTACTACTACTACTACTACTACTACTACTACTACTACTACTACTACTACTCTACTACCACTACTACCACTACTGCTACAACTACGACAATGAGGAGAAGGAGGAGGACGGCGTTTACTGCTCCTACTAATGTTGCTTTCCTAGAGGCTCCAACTCCTAGGTAGGGTCGCACTGGCATAATTGTTTCCACACGTTTGTGTACAGCGTAACCTCGAAACCAATTCCTCTCGCGGGTGCGTGGCATCACGACGCACAGAAACGCGCAGGATGGTGGCTTCGAAGGCTCGGACTACACCACGTACGTGACGACAAAGATTTAACGACCACCTTCGCAAGCACTTCCTTTGCTGCACTTGCTGAAACGAACTCGACAACCACGCAGGGTATCGAAGCTAGACTCAGACAGCAGCGCTGTCGACATGCAGCAACCTGTTTCTCTGGCCCAGACAATGCCCTACCCGCTTATCCGAATGTCGGGGCGCTCCTAAAGAGACCCATGGACAATCAACCAATGACGCGAGACACGGGCCCGGTGGCCTCTCAAGCTGTTCAACAAACAACTGTTTCTTCTGGGTATGTTACTGCGCAACGGCGACTGGTCGACCTTCCCACGGACACTGGAGAAGATGAGCAGCCGGACCTGGCCTTGCACAGCCAATGATGCAGCATGCGTGTTGGCCTCGTCTGGCGAGCAGAACAACTTTGCACTAATGTTGTAAGAAAGTCAGAATGAGGGGGCCGAACGGTCATTCACCGTCCCTGGGTGCGTGGCTGAAACGGGATTCCGCGGTGTGGATCGTTGCTGTTGTTGCGCTGTTTGTGATTTGATGTCATCGTCCCAACCGCGACCCAACCGGCGACCCCCCCGCAACCTGCCCGCGACCCACCCGCGACCCTGCCCGCGACCCACCCGAGAACCTGCCCGCGACCCATCCGCGACCCACCCGCGACCCGCCCACATTGCCATGACGCCAAAAGTGGCGCCTGCGGCGGGCTTCTTCGGAGGGTGCCGACGACTCCGCCGCCCACTCACTCTTATCCGCAACTGCTGGGTGCTACGCACTCTGGCAAGTAGTATGCGAATGCGTGACGACCGCAGCAACCCGACAAATAATGAGACAGTGGTGGCACTCTTTGGTCAAGATGCACAAAGTCTTCGTAAAGCGATTCGAGATGGCTGGTATCCAGTGGCAGGACGTGCGCATGATCGTGCAAAGTACGTTGGGGGAACTTGCAGGGCAGACGTGTCATTCAATTCTGAGCTATCGTGTCGGTTGGACCCGATCGATGGGGGATTTGCCGCGAAGGGACGCTACTGGCACCAAGAGTCTGCCCTCTGTCGAACTAACAACCGTGGCCCTCCATAGTGTGCCATAATTCCAGCCCTGCCAGGTCTCGGGGCCTACGTCCCCACCATCAGGCCCAAGTCAAGAAAATCTCCAGTCACCCGTATGCTACACTACGTTCGACAAGCGCTAAGCGGGGATGTTACGGTGTCCAATGGGAATCACGTACGTGGCTTCGGTGTGTAACAATATTGTGTTCGATCTATGGCGAAGCGTTCCCCTGAAAATGCAAGATCGAGCCCGTCGTGTTCCATGGTGACGAGCGTGGGTTCGAGATCCCCAGCACATGCAGCTGAATGGGGAGTCTTTTCTGTGAGCTATGAGGGTGGAGAAAGAGTTCGGCATACATATTCTGGATGGCAACGATCAGCTACTAGAAAGTGTGTGCCCCTGGGCCCAGAGGGTCGTAAACGACACCGTCTCGCTCCCAGATTCTGGGCGCGGTATGGCTGCTGAGTTTGACCGAACGCCCTTCCGCCCCTTCACCTCCCTGAGCTTACTGAACTGTTGTCCCTCATTGATCCAAAGTTACCACTGGCAACTTGGCTCGGTGTTAGTATCCCCCCTCCTGGTCACCAGCCGCTCCAACCAATAGAGAACCAGCTCGTTCCTCACTTCGATCCGCGCGTCGGCTGAGTTTCGCGGTGCAGTCATAGGAGACCCCCGAGGGTGCAACAGCAGCAGGAGGCAGCTGCTGGTCCACGTGGCGCCTGCAGGCAAACGCAAGGCATCGACAGAGCAGCCAGGGGCCGGGCAGAAGTTGACACAACTCAGGCGGATGTGCTGTCCTCCTCCTCCTCCCTCCCCCTCCTCCTCCTCCTCCTCCTCCTCCTCCTCCCCCCTCCTCCCGTAGCATGGATGCCGTGTCCCGGCAGTTGGACCGTCAACAAAAACACGGCCCAAAACACCAAAAACACATCGGGATGAAAAGCTGGCCCCGGAGAAGGGGTCGAGACCTTTAGATGTCCACGAGGAACAAAAACACTACTTCGGGGGTCTGAATACACCTGCACCATGCCTGCCTGGCCAGGATCATCCTTGGCCCTGGCATGGTAAACACGCCCTCCTGGCCGAGGCCACGAATCCAATACATTCACAGTGGAAGCACTTCTCTCCCTTCTATGGAAGATCCTCCTCTGGGGCATGGATCCCCTGTGGAAAGTCATGGAACCCACGCCTCTGACGTAAGCAGTCCTCTGCCACCTCCCCCTTCCTCCGGAGAGCTTTGCCGCACAACTGTAATGCTGAACCTTCTTCCCTCCACTTACTCCTCTCCTCTCATATATATATATATAGATTCCCCCTCATCCTCCTCCCGTTCCTCTTTCTCGCCCTCTTTCCCTTTGTGTGTCTCCTCCCCCGCCTAGAAGTCCGGTGTGTGTGTGTTTTCAACTGTACGCGCCGCCCTGAAGTCTCGACCTTGTCCCCAGGGACAGTTGCGGCCTCAGTATATCATGTTTGAGGTCGAGGCCTGAACCCTGACGTGTCTCTTTCTCCTACTCCTCCTTGTTTGTTCGGCATGTCACAAAGCGAGGCCCGCCTCGTGCAGCACGGCCGAGTTCGACAAAGACGGCGAAACAAACCCAGCGCAACGCGGGCCCGCCAGTCCCAACAGGAAGGCAAAATACCAGAGGCTGCAAGCAGGCACTGTATGGGAAAAGGCAAAAAATGCCTGCATGTGAATAGCGACGACCGAACGGAGTCCTAGAGCGATAGAAATGGGGGCCCGCACGATTGACAAAACGCTCTGCGCCGGCCCCCCAGGGACGGCCGCTGCACGCAGCAAGCGACTGCCATCCCTAGGGGAGCAGGGCGCCGGCAAGGGCCTATACTTGGCACTACCCGTGAGCTCAGTTGGTCACGCGAGGAGACGTAGCCGGCCACCCTGCGCCCGCCGCCGCAGCCGCCAGGCGCAGCCCGCCGCCGCAGGGCAAAGCCACCCTCTGCCTCAGCACCCTCCTCCCCCTCCTCCTCCTCCTCCTCCTCCTCTTCCTCCTCCTCCTCCTCGTCCTCCTC